CATCTAGTTTTTATTTACGTAGTTTGTCCTATATTCCCGAACTTGGGTTGCTGACGGGCAAACAGCGAAGCCACAGAAAACAAGCTCCGTAACAATATAAAAATAATAAGATGGGGTATGATTGCCAATGAGACAACTCTCCAACAAAGACTATAGATGACGTAGAAGTTAGCAACTATAGGTCACCGTAGATCTTAAACAATGAGTGAAAAAAAACCCGTTTAATATTAAGCTATAAAAGGCCCCGAAATAACAATAACACGAACAGTACCAATTTTACTGCACCACCAGATGCGCAATTCGACAATAAATGTCTGTTCAGTGATGCTCGGTGTAAAACAATTCAAACGAGAAAACTATAACTGCCTGATTTATGGACCAAATAGTAATCAAAAAACAAATATGATATACAGCAACAAACGACAACCACTGAATTACATGCTCCTGACTTGCGATAGGCACGTACAGAATGTGGCGGTGATAAACATGTTGGCTTGCGCCCAATCCTCCCCATAACCTAGGACAGGGGTGCAATATCACAACAGAAGAACAAGCTATACCAAACAATAAACGTAAAACAAATATGATAAACGACAACCACCCAATTTCAATCTTCTGACTTGGGACAGGCACATATAGTATGAGGTGGGGTTGAATATGTTTCCGAACGCTCAACCCTCTCCCTAACCTTGGAAAGTGGTGTAACAGCACAAAATATGAACACACTATAACAACCAGTTGAAAAGTGCTAGAACTCATCAGATCAATTCAAATCACAAAAACAACTAACAAAAACACAAAGTGTCAAAGTACAGATTCGAGAGCACTAAAAGCTAGTTCAAAGCCAAGAACAACTAATTAAAAAATCATGTATCTACATTTTTGTTAGACTAAAATATAAATCAGTACACACCCAACATCCAATGGATTTATTGTAAAGACGTCATTAACAGTTAGAGAAAACTAGGACCTTGTGCAATGTCAAAATATAGGTATCGACAGAATGTAAGACTTTGAATGTATTTGTGTGTTTAGCAATAGTACTTAATTTATTGATAACAAAATCGATATTCATACCGATAAAAACAATATTCAAAGATCTAATTACAGTGCAAAATTGTTATCCTTTTAGATTTTATTAGTTTATTTAAAGGATCGACAAGTTTACCCGGAGAGTATCTAAATTTTCGGACACGGTAAACAACATCACCGTAAAAAATTAGGATGTGCTATCCTTTTTTTAAAAGGTTTTCTATAGGTACAGCCGTACAGCCAAACTTTAAACCCAAATCTTTTTATCTATGAAAGAATTTAGTAAAGGTTTTAAGTAATTTGTGGTAACAAAATCCTTGACTTAATAATTTACCAGTAATATATAGATTACGTTCAATGAAATCCAAAACGTCAATACAGACACAAGCATATAGAACTAGTCGGGGTATATAAACATCGTAAGATTGGGCCAAAGGAACATCATCGTTCAAAAATGGAAAATTAACAATAGGGAACGAAACATCGTCCCCTTCTTCATAATTTTTGCCTTAATTTTTGTATGTAGATTTTCTCGTGTAAAACTGAAATATCTAAATATAGGAAAGGACAGTTATTGCTATTTATATTTGATTCATCACACTTTCAGTCAGTATATTTCGCATATTTAATTTTGTCAGAACAGAAAAAGCCTTCATCTAAGTTGCAGTAGATATATTTGCAATCGAATTTTTCAATCGGCCATTTAATCAAATATAGGAAAACTTTTGTTTGATAAAATTGTTTGGAGGTGTAGTGTAAAGAGTTCAAAAACCAAAACTGTCAAACGAATTAAAAGGACCACCAAATGCACGTTATTTATCTAAAACATCCAAAGAATTTTTTACACTCCAAAAGCAGTTATTTCCACTATTTTCATATGCTGTATTACAAAAGTTAAATGATAAGTTCTTTGATAGCAGTTAAAGCACTGAAAAATTAGTTGTAGAACACTTACTAGAGGCCGAGATTAAACGATAGTTTACGGGTTTTTTGTGTAGTTTAGGTAACCAATACATAGAGGGGACCTTCAAATGTTCAGAGGAGTCAATTGGCTGAAATGTGGTAATGATATGATTCTTTACTATCTGGTGTTGCAAGTCAAGTTGGCTTGATGTCCCACTATCGTTTTATATATAGCTCCTAGCAGTCGTTGACTGTTATTTTTCCGATAGCACACGCAGTCATCAAGGAAGAGAGTTGTCTCATTGGCAATCATACCACATCTTCTTATTTTATATATTGTCTTCGATGTCACACGATTTGCTATATTATATCGTTCAAATTAATGAACGATGAATATGTTCAGCCCATGGAAAACTGTTCCTTTCGGGGGTTCTCGAAAGAAAAACCGAATCGCCAGATTTACTATAATTTACAACTATACTAGTTGGACAGGATTGAGTCGGTAGTTCATGTGGCACCGTGTCAAATGGCTTTGCGAAATATAAAATGAAGATGTCTGCTTGTTACTGCAGGTAGCACTTGCCCAATCACCAATGACATCTTCTAGGTGCGAATGCTGTTGTTTTCGAAATGCTGCACCAAGGTATGAGGTAAGACAAGAGCTATTATTTGACACCTAAAATTGCAAAAATGTTAAACTATTTACGACTTTTAAAATCATGTTAAATTACTTATTGATAAATGAATTATTATAGTTTAATTAATATATAATCTGGACATTTACGTGCAGAAAACCAGCGGCTTTTTTTCACAAAAAATCTTCAAGAGTTAAAATACTCGTAAGTCATACACATTTCAGTATAACTTACGATCAATTTTAATCGTAAGATTTTTGGTGAAAAGAGTCGCAGGCCAATTGTGATGTCACTATGACCGGCATCTTAAGCATGTAGAAATTGTTACATATTATACCTATACAATTGCCATTTTACACAACCTGTATGGTTATAATATATATGAGCCAAGGGTTACCCAAGAAGATATTTTACTCACATTAACATCTTAATCAAATACATCTTGGGCAAAATATATTTTTTTTTTGGCAAAAATTTGGCTCACATCTAAATATTGACATGACGGACAAAGATATCTTAAAAGGAGATTGTTATGTGTCAGAAGCTTGAAGAGGACCCATGTGCTATTATGCCAGAAAACAAAATTCAACAATATAAATACTAATTTCTGACAGACCAATGATGTCTTATGACCCGGCTTCTGAACGATGTCATTTGAAAGATTTATAATAGTATTTGATTTTCGAATTCGGGGACCAAAAAAGTTGTATAATAAATCACTCCTTCGATCTCCTTTAAGAAAATGCTTGGTTCCAATAGTTTCGATACGGTACAAGTGAGTGAGACCGGTCTTGGGATTAATCAATCGTTGTCCACTAAGGGTACGACCATATGTTTTTTTTTCCGGGGGACAAAGAGGATTTTCTCCGCCTTGTTCGTTTATTTTCATCTGTTGCTACACATGCTTATTTTTTTCCCGGCATGGCTTTGTACACATTTGTATCCTGGATTTTGTGTTGTAGAATTTTCATTTCCACCCAGCTGTCTTGTGCAACGTTATATTTTATTTTCAGATCTTACCAAGCCAAGTTATATTCATTTTCAAAAGCCTCCTTCCCTCTAAGAAATCAAATGGTCGTCCCCTAAACTGGTATGGTTTATTTGTCGATAGATTGTAAAAAGAGGTGAGCCTTGACCTCCTATAGTGTTAAGTTCTTTTTGTTCTTTTGTTCTTTAAACACTCTTTCGTAATATTGTCCGAGCCAAACGCTTTGAAAATATTTAACCCTTTCCGTATATTTTATTCTCACTTGTTGGTGACTCTTGTCATGTTCTTGAGATCTCAATCCTCATTTGATAATTTATATTACTATAGAAAATATCTAATTCAGCATACTTTTATTGATTGGGCAACATACATACGAAAGCCCTCCAAATGAAATGTCAATGAAAACCATCTATACTATTAAACGAGAAGACCTCATTTTGTGTGTCGCTTCTCTTCCTTCCCCAATAAATTAATCATCATGCCTCTGTGTCCTATAGGTACCATTCATAGTCGGATTTGTCATCCATTCTTATGATTATTAAGTTTGGGTTATTTTGGGAGAAAAACGAAGAAAAGGCTTCCGGATATTGTTTCCGTCATCAGACCGACTTTTAAGTCATACCCAAGACATCCGATTTTAAACTTTAAAAGAAAGGGTAAAGGGTTATTATCGTGCAACGTGTTTTGCAAGTTTTTATTTCACGTGCAGCCGTGAAAAAGGTTCGTTATTCATCGTGTTCCTTGAAATCGATAAAAAGATCAATGTGCAAGAAATTTTTAATTGTTCGCTCATCGTGAAATGGCAATTTTATTTCGCGTTCTTCCGTGCAGATACCGGCCCCCTTTACTCCCCTCTTTAAACACAATTTTCATAATTACGCGGGGACAGGACAATTATTTTCGCGTTATTCTGCATGTATACTATGTTTATAATCCTAAAATATATAGAGAATCTCTATATAATATAGCAGTGATCGCCGTGGAGAAGAAACTTGGAAATGATAGTTAATAGCAAACACACTTTATTTATATTATATGTTCAAAGTATACAGAAACGCAAAAATCATGGAATTAAACAGAGAGCAAAAAAATAACGGACTTTGGAAAAAAGGAAGAGGGCTTAACATAATTGTCCTGTCTCCAAGTGCCTATGACTCAGTTTGATACCTTTTCTGAAATTCTCCAGACATAAAATCTTTTACAAAAATTCATCCTACAACAGTTTACATACTTTCAACCAGAGACATATATTTATGTCTCTGTTTCAACCAAGCTCTAAATACCTGCGATTTCGCGGGTGTGTTCTAGTAAACATTGAACACATTAAATAAATCTTAGAGAAATACTAAAATAATAAAGTGCTCCTGGATGAGGAGTAAATTCCATAGAGCTAGATGTAAATACTAGATGTATCGTTTCCTTTCCCCTTTCTAATAGGCCCCTTGAAAACAACGGACATATTTTAATTTGAAATGTCAGATACTACTGACGAAGAATATGGCAACAATGACGACGAAACAGCTTTTGCAGGACCTCGTCGTATGAAAATAATACATTTTTCAAAACGGAAATTGGATAAAAACTCAACGTGTAGAGAAAATCTCGATGGATTTCTACCTGTTCATACATCACACTGGAAACTCCCCTGTCTCGAATCGCTTCGCATTTTTTATTCTGAGAAGCCCCTACCATTGTCAGAGTTATTAGATATTGTATATAAAAATACCAGTATGTTTGAACCATTGACTCTAAATCAAACTAAAGTTGTAAACTATCTTCAGAACAGTTTAGACTTTTGCACTTCTATTGGAGATGTAATGATTTATAGCAGAAGATATCCCCGAGAAATTGGCAGAGATCTGTTAGAAGAAATCAAGAAAAATTTGGAAAAAGATATATTCAAAAATAAAAGCTTTGTAAGGTAAGATAAGGAAGGATTGTTTATTGGTTTGTTCTTAACCCTTTCACTGCCACACTGATTCAATACTGAATTCTAGACAGTTCGGCACCCAGACAAATCGGCACCCGGACAAATCGGCACCCGAGAAAGACACTTCGGCACCCAGACAAATCGGCATCTAGACAAATCGGCACCTAACATAGACAAATCGGCACCTCATAAAGATAAAATCAATTATTAAATTCTTGATCAAAATATAATGAACCAAAAATCTAAATTTACTGGGAGTGATATAGATATGTGGGCATGACCTCAATTTGCAAGTTTAGTGTTAATATAGCAATAATTTTCGACTGTTTTTACAAATAACCAATTTGATTCCTGCACTATTTATGACATATTGTATATATAGTTCTATTCCGATAGTATTCTAAATCAATAAAACACATGTAGCATATTTATAATATTTTTTTTATTTATTATAATTATATTCATAACAGTTTATAGACACGTTAACAGCACTAGAATTGCATCAAAGGTGAACACATGATAGTAATGAAACATTTTGATACTGTAAATATAACATATAACATATATACAGGCAGCACTATAAGTTTTAACAAAGTCTCTTTGGTCGTGTTCCGTACACACTGGCACATTCCTTTAGCAGTCTGGAGGTGGAGATGCTGTTGCTACAATACTGGTCCCACAGTCTAAACACTTTGGCCTCCATGCATTGAGAAATTATCAAATTTCATTATAAACTTACATAAAATACTGATTAATGCATAACTACAATTAATTATGATTTAATAAAATGATGTTTATTCAAACACCATCATATTTAACAATCAATTAGGATTTAATTAAAATTTAATGATGTTTATTTAAACACCATCGTTTAGGATTTAATTAAAAAAAGACAATTATTTTTTCAAATTTTGTAATGCATATTTTATTTACGGATTTTAATATTTCTGTAACAATTCTTTTATTTTTCTTAATATTTATAGGTTATCGTTGGTTATCTCAACGAGATTGATTTTCTCGCTTGAGCCCTTACGGCGAAAGTGAGAAAAGCAATCAAGTTGGGCTGACCAATGATAATCTGTTTATTGCTGTTTTACCTATGATGACGTTGTTAATTTTATTGACAACGAGCACGTGGGCCCTTAGTTTCTAGCGATAATTTTTCATATCACTCGACTCCACTGAGAAAGAAAATGATCAGTCAGCAAGATCATAGGAAAATTTTTAAAATAGCGATAAATATAGAAAAAAAATGAGGTGCCGAATTGTCTTGGTCCCGAAATGTCCAAAACGGATGCCGAAATGTTTTCGGACCTGGGTGCCGATTTGTCTGGGTGCCGAAATGTCTTGTTACCTTCAATACTTTGCCAGGGCATATTTTGGGTATTCAAAAAACAACTGTATTGCTTATGACGTCCACAATGAAGGAACGTCACGGAGAGGGCACAGATGGAGGTGTGCACAGAACATCAAGTATTTTGGGGTTTTTTAAGATTTTGATCTGAAATGTGAGTGACCTACGTATTTGAGGGGTTCCGTAGTAATTTTAAGCGATACATTTATGATTTGAAAATGTTTTCAAATTTAACCTAGTAAAAGTATATCATTTAAACTTTTTTATTGAAAATCGAACATTTATTGAGTTTGTCAATTCGACCTATTAACGAACTAGCGAGTACTCTCATGTCTATACTTTATGTCTTTTGTGTTTTAGATAGTCGTTTTTTTGTGCTTTGTATCAATCCGATGAGCTCTTTTCTTGTGATACGGGAGACAGATTTATAAAATCCCGCTAACATGTTTAACCCCGCCACATTCTGTATGTATGTGCCTGTCCCAAATCAGGAGCCAGTAATTCAGTGGTAATTCAGTGGTTGTCGTTTGTTGCTGTTTAACATATTCGTTTACGTTCATTTTTTTGTACATAAATTAGACCGTTAGTTTTCTCGTTTGAAATGTTTTACTTTTGTCATTTCTGGGCCTTTTATAGCTGACTATGCGGTATGGGCTTTGCTCATTGTTGAAGGCCGTACGGTGACCTATACCCTTCCCTAGATTTTCCATCAAACATGATGGAATTTTGTGATGGAAAAAATGCCATCACATTCCATCATGTTGATGGAGTATTGGAACAACTTTCCATCAACTTTCCATCAATGCTGGAAAATGGTTGATGGAAAAGGTTTGATGGAATTTGTGTTCATGATGATGGAAAATTGATGGCATAATTTCCATCTGATGGTATTTTTGCCATCTGATGGATAATTGATGGTATTTTTGCCATCTGATGGAAAACTGATGGTAATTTTGCTATCAGATGGAAAACCAATGGAATATTTCCATTACATGTAAAATGCATGGAAACTTGATGGAGAATTGACCATCAGATGGAATTTGATGGATGAGTAAGGAGAATGTCTTTAGAAAATCTTTCCATTTATGGCATTTTCTGTGATTTAATAAAACAATATTTGTTCTCTGTCGTCTATAGGTAGTCCTGTTACATGTGTGTATCTTTTCGTTCAGTGTCCCATTGAACTCGCTGTCCTTAAAGTTGAATTAGTTGATGGCAAATTCTGCAAAATAAAAGTAAAAGAATCTAGCATATAAAAGAATAAGTTAACATTGTACAGATATAAAGTTAGTTAGTTACATTTGTTGTCAATTCTGAAATTATCAAATGAAAATAAAACTTTTTGAAAAGATTTGTATTAATGTGTCACTTGCAGGGTCAATTTCTAAGAGTGTCAAATCCTTCTAGAAATTTAATATTCAGAAGTGGATTTAGGAAAGTGGGCTCCCCCTTTCTGAGCTTTAGAGCTACATAACTTATTAAATAGAAGTTTTATAAGTCTTACTCCTAATGTTGACTTAATTGCCACCACCACCACCCTGGTTCAGCAGCTGATATATAACTGTACAATACATTAAACCTCATGTCAGGACGAAATTATCATCATTATAATAAGTGACTGTCCCAAGAAATAAAGAGGTTGTCCTTTCTTTTTTGTTTAATATTTGTTTTTCATAATCATTGTACTATAACATAATAGGTCTTGCCCATGTTTTATATCACACTTTTGGTGGGTAGTGTATATACTATACATGTATATATAAAGATATATTATTTTACCATTTGTGGATATATAAATGTCATATTGTCAGTCACACCACAGATCTCTAATTTTATAGCAAAATTACTTTTTCAGAAGTACTATTTTATAAAACAAATAATGTTTTAAAATGATACAAAATATGACTCATGTCCTACACAATTTTATGATATATGCATATTTTTTGTGTCATTTGGTCTCTTGTGGAGAGTTGTCTCATTGGCAAGCATACCACATCTTCTTTATTAATACTTTTTATAAATCCATGACCTTCTTTTTTTCTTGACTCTTAAAAGTTAATAAAACACTTTAAATGTCACTACTTTGAACTAATATAGCATGCACATATATTCAAAATTGTGGAAATTCTAATACATTGTACTTACCAAAAGATATAATCCAAAATATGTTTACACCCGAGACTCCCGAAAAATATATATAGGCGGTGCTCCTATCATTGGCGGTAACACTACACAGTTTTGTACATACACATGGCGACACGAAACACAATCGGAAATCCATTTTACGATATCAAATGTTTCATAATGGAGTGGAAAATATCGTGCGCCACGTGGGCGCTTACATTTGTCACTCTATGCACCATTTCTGGTCGAAAAGGGCAATTGGCGCAAGGCGGACGTCCTTCCCGTTAACTGTATTAAATAATTTATTTAAATGGCTGTCAAGTTCCCATTAAAAAAAATTGACTTGTATTTATTTTAATGTCAGATCCTTATACTCCAATCAAAATTAGATACTAGTACTTACTACTAGCAAACTTGTTGGCCATTTTTAATGGCTGCTTAGATTGTTAAATTACCAAAATTATCAAAATGGTTCCCAACCCCTGCCCCTCCTCCTCATGTTCACTAATACTCTTAAGCATTTCATTGTCTTAATTCAATAATTGTATTTAGATACACATTGTTCAGCATGGCTTAACAATGCTCGCTGTTCAGTTTCAAATATTATATTAGGCCTAAAATAAAATATTGTCTGTTTCCCCAATCCCTACCGACCTTGCAAAAACGGGTCCGACTCTGACATAAAATTTTATTGTCAAAACTAAGTCAAATATTATTTTATTCAGTTCCAATTTTCAGACTTGCCAGATCGACCAATATTGTTCCAGCTTTTTGGAAAAAATAAAACTATTTCCATACCTACCTAGCCACACCTGGCTTGGCGGTGTCGGATTGGGGAAACAAACAATATATTAATTTAGGCTTAATAAAATTCAGATATAAAGGATACATGTTAAGTTCTTCTCCTTTCTGTAATTAAATTTGCTGTCTCTGTACTTCCAACTAGTATTGCTGAGTAAAGGTAACTGGAATCTGCATGCAATCTGTTTACTATCAAAATTGGCAGCTCCATTTTAAAATCAGTAAATCCCCTAAAAGTAAAAAAAAAATCCACAAAGAATCAATTGTTCAAGACGTTTTGAAGCAATAAATTCAATAGAAATATTATTGCATGTTTATACAGTACATTGGAAGCCATTTGGAATCAAATTAATTACCCTCCCCCTTTTTTATCCCCTGAAGATTAAAAACCGGCGACTTATTATTTTCACCAAATAACCATTCACACAACTCAATATTTTTTTACATGTCTACCAGTTATGCCTGTTATGTGACAACAAGATTATTCATTGTAAAAAACTCATGTTAAAAATAAATATAATTTTCAGTTTATGATTTCAGACTTTCTGATGTTGATTTGCTCAAATAAAAACAATAAAAAATCATAGTTCTTCAATGAATTATAATTTATAATCATAATATACACATGTTGAATTAAATTTCTAATGCACTTATCTGAAAACATCTGCATCGGATTTTCCAGCATCGGATTTTCAAGTTTGATCTCCATATC